GGGTCCAGCTGCACCCTCAGTCTGATGGGGGTCCCGTCGTCCATCGTGTCCTCGGCCGCCAGCGACGACCCCCAACGCTCGGCCACGGCCCGGAGAGTGTCCCTGACGGCCACCTCGGCGTTGGCCTGGGGTCACACGGGGTCACAGGGGGGTCATGGGGTCACACAGGGGTCACACAGGGGTCACCCAGGGGTCACACGGGGGTCACAGGGACAGCAGGGACCCCACAATCACAGAGTGTCCCTGACGGCCACCTCGGCGTTGGCCTGGGGTCACACGGGGTCACGGGGTCACACAGGGGTCACCCAGGGGTCACCCAGGGGTCACCCAGGGTCATTGGGGTCACCCAGGGGTCACCCAGGGGTCACAGGGTCATTGGGGACCCCACAATCACAGAGTGTCCCTGACGGCCACCTCGGCGTTGGCCTGGGGTCACAGGGGTCACCCAGGGGTCACGGGGTCACACGGGGTCACCCAGGGGTCACGGGGTCACACAGGGGTCACGGGGTCACCCAGGGGTCACACAGGGGTCACGGGGTCACACAGGGGTCACACAGGGTCATTGGGGTCACCCAGGGGTCACTCAGGTGAATTTTGGGGTGTTTTTAGGGATTTTTGTGGGGATTTTTGGGATAATTTGGGGGCTGTTTTGGGATATTTTTGGGCTGGTTTTGGGGGATATTTTTGGGGATATTTTGGGATATTTTTGGGATATTTTGGGATATTTTTGGGGATATTTTGGGATATTTTTGGGGATATTTTTGGGATAATTTGGGGATATTTTGGGCCTGTTTTGGGGATATTTTTGGGATAATTTGGGGATAATTTGGGGATGTTTTTGGGGATATTTCTGGGATATTTTGGGGATGTTTTTGGGGATATTTTAGGGATATTTTTGGGGGATATTTTGGGCTCTCTCACCTGCACGTATCCCATGTAGGCCTGCACGGCCTCCAGCCCGTGCTGCCTGATGAGCTCCCAGGGTTTGGGGGATTTGGGGATTTTTGGGATATTTTTGGGATGTTTTGGTGGTATTTTTTTAGGTGTTTTTGGGGCTGTTTTGGGCCTGTTTTGGGGATATTTGGGGATATTTTTGGGGATATTTTGGGCTCTCTCACCTGCACGTATCCCATGTAGGCCTGCACGGCCTCCAGCCCGTGCTGCCTGATGAGCTCCCTCACCAGCCCGATCCCTTTCTGGTTCGCAGCCACCTGAGCCCTCAGGTCGGCCAGGTTGTCCCGCAGGTTCCGAGTGCCCGAACAGCCGGGGATGGAGCCG